GTAACGGTCAACTTGGATCACGTGTGCCTTAATAACCAATCACATTACAGACTTGACGTCATTGAATTTCAGTCAGAGTTGTGTGACACTCAGTCGCCGTTTACAGATACTATAGGAATGAATGAGAAGTGCCATAAGCTGTGTCGCAAGAAGTCAGTGACTTTTCTTATAAAACTGCAATTTTCTCGGTATAAACTAAAAATAATTCAATCCAGAAGTATTGCTTAGTGTAAAACATGTTTGGAGATTAGCTGATAGGCTGTCGATTTATTAAATGATAAGCTGTTTCCTCTAAAAAGCTGTGTATTCAGCATAGTGAAGCCTCTCCTCCATTGACATCCATTAAAAAAAACCGCCTCTGGTCTCCTTTCCCACATACTGGCAAACCGGAAGCATTAGCATTAGCCGTTACGCTTTTTTGGCTAAAGGTTGCAGGCTTGCCTTCTAGTGGCAACATGCTTTTGTATATCCTGCTTGTAGCAAATGAAAACATCATGCATCTGAAGCTGTAATTAATTATTGAGCAACAGTGCGTATTATATGTTTATTGTTTTAAATGCCACTTACTCTTTTATGAGAAGGACCCAACAGAGGACGCATACGCAGTTATTTCTTTGGTTGAAAGAATCCTTAGGTGTGTAAATGTATAATTTCCTTTTCATTATTTTTTTTTCAGATTAATTTAAATGTATAGTTAAAAGAACTAAACATAAATGTATTTTAAAGTTTAGAATTAGACAGACTTTTAGGCTGGCAACTCTTCAGAGGACTTTCCTCATCAATAGGCTCTATTTATTCACACTTTTCTCATTCTCACAAATTACATTTTTTATATGAATGAATGTGAATCTCTGAAGGGAACAGACTTCAGAAAAGTTTCGATGGCATTTTCATTTTATCTGATAAAGTAGCATTTATGAGCGGAGCGCTGCTTTGTTGACAGCCGTTACTGGGGAAACCGCTATATTTCTGACGTTCCAAAATTTCCTCTTACTGGCAGAGATTGAAATGTGCATTTTTAATAATCCCGTATGCATACCAATGCAAAAATTCACCCACAAAAACCGTTTTCAATTAATATAATAGTTTATACTTCAGACTCATCCCTCTTCTTAAAAAAAAAAAAAGTTTTAAAGGGAAAATTGTGGGGTTTATCATTTTA